TTTTGTATTAGATCCTGGGCCCTGTATATCTATACTCTAGATATCTGAGTTCTTTTCCATTGCCAGGCAAAGCCTAAGCACATAATTTATCTTCTGGTATCTTTTCCTGTTTCTCTGTCACTTCCCCAAAACCCTATCTGAGGCAAAAACCCACTCAGTATTTTGCATACTCCTACTGTAGGCTTGAATTTGCTGTGATGCCTGGTGGGCAAAACTAGAGGACATCTGTCACAGTCACCCAGTGAGCTTCCATGGCAGAGTGATGATTCAAAATCGGATCTCCTAAATTCTAGGCTGAAACTCTGAGGACTGCAGCACACTTTCATTTATGTGGTGGCTGCTGTTGAGTAGTACATAGCAGCTGGGCCTTGGTGAGTCAAGTAAGTTACATGGTTGCAATTAGCCCATTGGTTGCAGCCAGGCCTGGGGAAGCTGCATTGACCACGTGCACTTCTGATCGATCAAAATAGAGGCACCTTTTAACCTTGACACTGGAGAATGATGTCATTAAAAGGTGCGTGTCAATATCATTGTGTAGTCATAGCTTTCTTGATCTATGTGACAGAATAAGAAGTTTCTTTTAATAACATCTCAGTGATTTTTACTCCCAAGTATATTGCTGAAATGTTGGATACAGAATTGCAAAGGTTAAAAGCAATCTACTAAGAATCAGATTTCATTTTTGCAATAAGATGCTCCTTGGAATTTAAATCACGCCTCACTAAAAATGATGTAGCATTAGGGAAGAAAAATGCAGACTGCACCGGAGGCTAAGATGGAGAAGATCTGCACAGCTACCATCTATTTCCACTTGTGGCTCAGGTAGGTGGGCATAAAGGATACCAAAACACTGCAAAACACCAGCATGCTGAAGGTGATCTGCTCAGCTTTCTTCCTTCCTTCCTTCTTTTTTTAAATTTTTAGTTGCTTTTCTAAACTACAGATCTACAGGGTTGGGATGGGAACAACCTAAAATATAGAGTAACAAGGTAATACAATGGTTTAAAGTAGTTGAAACATCTCTAGTTATTGAAATAGTATAATGTGAGATTAATATAAAAATAGCAAATTAGGAAGCAAGCAATCTCTGTCATATTTGACTATGGTGTAAATTTAGCTTTACATTTATGCATTAACAGTAAACATCAGACTATCAAAGTTATTCTATTTTGCTTATTTTGCTTATTTCTTTCCACTAAGTTTCTTATCAAAGTCCAAATTCTGCTTCAGGATCACAGGATTCTGCGGTGCTGCTCAAGGTGGCACCAGAGCCTTCCCCTTCTTTGTCTTCTTCATCTGCATCTTTGTTGTCTTCCACTTTCTCAGGACCATCTCTCGCTTTCTGTTGTTGCATCAGGAACATTTTCGCTTGGTAAACAGAATCTGTTCTCGCTGAGGTTTCTTTGAGCTCCTTTTGCAACATATTGAACTGATCATTAGGGTTGGTCATCTGGTCCAGTAGAGGGTGCAAATCTGCAGCAATCATTTTGGGAACATCTGTGGTTATTTCTGGTTTAGAAGCCAGAAAAGATGTCCTGGCAGCTCCTGTTATAAGTTTCATTTTCGCCGCAGCTCAACTTTCTTGAAGGCCCCAGGCTGCTTTCAGACCAGGAAAGCCACTGTGAAGAAAATGGTAGCCAGGAAGCCCATATAGCCCAGGGCACCATAAAACATGGCCACAGTGTGATTTGTCCACAAAACGAGTGCCATTCAGACTCTGGGAAAGAGGGAGAGATTCCCTGCCAGATGATGCAGTGGTCAATTTGAACAGTGGAACATACCAGAACAAACAAACACACCATAGAAAATCCTAATAGCTGTGGCATGGTCTTGTGTGTGCCTTTGCACAGGAGTCCCTTTTGACAAAGATGATGCCAGTGGGAAGTTATGAACCCTGGCAGTTAACAGAGCAGGCCTGAACCATTTCTGCAAACAATATTTTGTTTTTTGCTGGGTCAGCATTGCTCTTTCTGGTCCCTCCATGCCCAGAACAAACTTTAACAGAAGACAGATTGCAGGTCATAAAAAAATGTCTATGGGAAATTCATTCTAAACTCAGAGGCACTTAAAATCACACATTCAGAGGAGACAAATCAAATGGTTTAGAGGAAGTCATGTGAGTTTCACTTATCTGGTCCTATAGAAGGTAGTCACTCTCCATCAATGCTCCCTCTAAGCTATGGGGTCTTGTGAGCAAAAATTCTACTTTGTGAGCTACTGGCATTAAAGTTATGAGCGAGTGATTTGGCTACTGCATAAATGAGTTTGCTCTGAAGCCATCGTTCCTGAGCTAAGACAAAAATGTGTGAGCTCAAGGCTAAAAAACTGTGATCTAGCTCACACTAACTCAGCTTAGAGCGAACAATGCTCCCTAGTTACCCCAAATCACTGAGATGTGAGTTGCATGTGATTCTCTAATGTTTCTGAAAGCACTTTGGTGAGAATCTGAGAAATTTCACTTTTTCTTTTAAGTGTAATGAATTAAATAATTAAAACATCTCTACCCCACCTTTTCCTCATGGTTTGAGGTGACCTCAATGTCTGATATCATATGTCCATGCAAATCTTTTTATATCTTTGTAATTCTTTAATATTCAATCATTTCAATAATTCTCAGATTGATTGTCAATAACCTTAGACCATAACATGAGTGATCTTTGTCTCGGATAGGAGGTGTTCATTTGATAGCTGTAATAAATACACTTCTGTTCAGTCAGAGGGCTGATTCACTGTCAGAAATAGAGTATAAGAGAAAATCATCATTTTAGTACTATCAATATAGTCCTGTAGTTTAGTGGTTAGGTTAATGTGTTGCTTTGCAAAGGACAAATAGTCTCTTAGTTTCAAATATGTCTGTTTTTAAAAGGATGAGTCCCCCATGGGACACATAAAATTCCATCTCAGTGGTGGTGGTGGTCATGTGAAAAGATAGACAGTTACCATTGGTACAGTGACTCCAAATTAGATATCACTGCTCTTTCCCACTCTTGGTTGACAGACCTACTTCAAAATGTTTTAATTTTTTCATGTTCATTCCCTTGAGGAACCTGATAAAGTTTAAAGGCATTATAAAGATGTTTCAAATAAAGTGATCAATGAGAGAGCGGGTAATCTTACCCAAATGTCCCCCTTCCGTCCAACTCACAAGCCTACGAGAGACTAGCTGCTCTGTACAATTGAGTAAGGACACATTAACATGAATCAACTGGGAAGCAGGTTGAGATCAACAACTAATACTAAGGAAATAAGCTGTGGCCATTGCTATACTGTTAAGCGCTTGCCTTCATGATTTGTGACTAGTATCTGTCTTGACAGATGTGAAGGAAATTTCCTTCAGTAGCATATCAGAGAGTTCAATTGTGAGGAAAGTTCACAAACACAGGTGGAAGAATTACAAACATGAAAAACACTGTACTGAGAATCAAATTTCATCTTGACTTTTCATCATGAGATGGTCCTTGACATTCAGACCAGGCCTCACTATAATGATGTAACATTTGGGGATGAAGATGCAGCCCAGCAAGCCAGCACTGGAGGCCAAGATGGAGAAGACCTGCACGGCTACCATGTATTTCCCCTTGGTGCTCAGGTAGGTGGGCACAAAAGACACCCAAACACTGCAGAAAACCAGCATGCTGAAGGTGATCAGCTTGGCTTCGTTGAAGGCCCCAGGAAGCTTCCTAGCCAGGAAAGCCACCGTGAAGGAGATGGCAGCCAGGAAGCCCATGTAACCCAGGGCACCATAAAACATGGCCACAGACCCTTCATTGCATTGCCACATGATCTGTGCATCATGGGAGTGCAGGTCAAACTCTGGGAAGGGGGGAGAGATGCCCAGCCAGATGAGGCAGAGGCCAATTTGAACAATGGAACACAAAATGACTATGGACTTTGCCAGACTCCTCCCCAGCCATTTCCTCATCCTATTTCCTGGCTTGGTGGCCATGAATGCCACCACCACAGTGATCGTTTTAGCCAACACAGATGAGACAGCAGTTGAGAAGATGGTGCTGAAGGTGGTTTGTCGGAGAAGGCAGGTCACTCTCCTTGGCTGGCCGATGAATAGAAGGGAGGACAGAAAGCAAAGCAGGAGTGAGATGAGAAGAATAAAGGTGAGGTTTCGGTTGTTGGCTTTGACTATTGGTGTTTCAGTATATTTAATGAAGATTCCTAGAATCAGAAGTGTGACTGTGGACAAAAACACAACCAAAACAACGAGGGCAGTTCCCAAAGTCTCCTCGTAAGAAAGGAAAGTAATAACTTTGGGAATGCATTGAGTGTGGTCCAGGTTGGGATACTGATCTTCTGGGCACTTGAGGCAACGATCTGCATCTGGAAAACAAAATGTGAGTTAAGCATAGAATCATAAAGTTGGAAGGGACCTCCAGGGTCATATAGTCCAACCCCCTGCACAATGCAGGGAATTCATAAATACCTCCCCCCACACACACACCCAGTAACCCCTGTTTCATGCCCAGAAAATGACAAAAAAACCTTCCAGGATCCATGGCCAAACTGGCCTGCAGAAAAATTGCTTCCTGACCCCAGAGTGGCAATCAGCATTTCCCTGGGCATGTAATAAAGGGCCACAAGAACTAAGCACTGAACTACCCTTCCTGCCCTCCCTCTCATGATCTGCCTAAGTTCACAGAATCAGCATTGCTGTCAGATGGCCATCTAGCCTGTGGCGAAACGGGGACCTGCCCTCAGCCCTGGGAGACTGAGGTGCCGTCCTGTGGCTCGCAAGCCCCTGTTTTGGCCTTCCCACCCTGCCCAATGGGACTATTTCTCTTTATTAACGCTGCCACCACTCACTGAATTGAGTTACCGCCTTCCTTGAGGGACAGTGAGACCCCTCTGGCTAAATTCCCCACCTTGGGAAGTGGGTACCTCGATCTTTGGGCACCCCCTGGAGAGTTGGCAACCCTCAGATTTAGGCCCGTTTGTGTTCCCTGGCCTCCCTTTGCCCCTGGTAATGTGCAGAGTGGGGAGGACTATGTAGTTAAGGCACACCAGGCTTTTTAAACTCAAAAAAGGAAGATTTATTCAACTATAGACATATTGGGCACAGAAAATAAACACAGACACTTCAACAGAACTGAGGCACAGAAAATAAACAGGATAAAAACGCAATTCCTCTGTCCCTACCCACACACCCTCTCTACCTCTGTAGTGGGTTGTGGCCTCAGGCCAGGATTTGTGTTTCCCCCTCTTGTTGTGGAGAGAAACTCCAGCCCTCCTCCTCCTCAGGACTGGCCACCAGCACTGCCACCCTCCTGGCTCTCCACCACAGTCTATAGTGGCCTGGGTTGCCCACGGAGTCCCTGGTAACAGGAGTCCCACCTGTACTCTCCCTTGAACCTGCCGTCCACGATGAAGACCAGGCTGAGACTGCCTCTTTTCCCCTCAGGAGCCAAAAAGCCCCTCTTCTCCTTGGCCCCGCCCCTGGGGTGTGTCCCTCTTTTCCCGCTCTTTCCCCACAAGGCTGCTGGGAAGTGTAGGCAGGGAGGTATGGCATCTCTATTATTCCCTATGGAGTACCCCCACACACGTAAGGAACGACCAGGCTGGTATCCATTTTAAGGCCTGGCAGCCATTTTGTCACATAGCCTCTGTTTGAGCCCACCACCTCCCAAGGAAGCCTGTTCCACAGAGGAATCACTCATGTATATCTCATTCATATCCACAACAATGTATACTCCTTTAGATTCCATAAAGCCTATACATCAGGATGAGCTTTTTTTTTAATACACACACACACACACAAAGGTATGGTATTCCTGTCTTTGGGCTCAAAGTAACTAACAAGGCAAGAAGTTTCAAGAACACAAAAACACCAGTCCCTTAATCAGATAAAAATGTCCACACAAGACAATGGGTTTTTTAAATACAGATTTTGAAATGGAGAGGTCAGAAATGTGCATCTATGAAAACAAGCACAAAGATTAAAATTAAAATGGCAAATATTTACTCCCTGTAGAACTGCTGGAGACAGCTGACAGCTCAATGAAATGATTAAACAACAACATAAGCTCAGTGATGATACAACAAATTTAAAAGGGGGGGGAATCCATATCCCCAGCATCTGCAGTTGAAGGGATAATGTAGTAGCTGATGTGAAAGACTTCTACCAAAGCCACTGCCAGTCTGGGTAGACAATACTGACTGTGGCCCTTTATGCACTGACAGCCTACTGCGGAGAATCTGAGCAGTCAAGCTTTTAAACTTGACTTCAGATCTGTGTGCCTGCCTTATGCGGTATTCTTTTTTTTCTCCACTGTATTTCTGTGTATTCATTCTGCAGCTGCAACCAAAAAACAGTTTCTCTTAGTCGAGGTGGGGACATAACTTGTGATGGGGGTGGTGTCCAAAGGTTGGGTTTTTTAATTCACACAATTGTCCTATCTCAGCCATGCAGTGTTGTCCATGAAAGTGAAATAAGAGCCTGGAAGAAGAAGAAGAAGGAATGGATACTGCCCTGGTCGGTCGCTGCACTGCTCTCTGAATCAGCTTTGTCTCTCCTCCTCTGACCGTGCACTGCTCCTCAAACCAGGTGAAGCAAGAGGGTGACCCAGCTGAGCTCACTATGCCTGCGGGGACCCAATATCTCCCAGCAGGCGCAGCTCCGTGACCCCTTCTCCAGCCAGCCCATTTAAACTGGGCAGCAGGATAGGGCAGCCCATCTGGAAAACAAAACTTGCACATCCCTCGTCCTTTTTTGCTACCAACAAGGTGCCATAATAATGTTAGGTGGAGGAACAATCTCGATGAGGGTGGTGGAGAAGCTGACTCTGAGGGGCAGGAAAAGGGCAGGAAGGTAAAATCTGAGGGAATTTTTCTCCTTTGAATTGCTTTCAGCTTGGAAGTGAAGCAATGAGAAACATTGTTGCAAAACCACTTTCAGAAAAGCCGGGGATACATCGAACAGAAATAAGCTGAGAGCTGAAGGAATGAAAATCAATGCAGAACGAAAAAGATAGCCCGACTTGAAAGTGGGGGGAACGCAGAACAAAAAAAGAAATTGCAACAGAGATGTTTGGGGAAAGTGAGGGAAACCACCGGGGCATAAAAGGCCACAGATGAACCAATGGTCTGATCCTGTATAAGGCATCTTCTTGTGTCCATGGCTCCACAGCCCCCATCTAAGGCAGGTGAAACATCAGATGGAGCGGAAGGAGGCCTCCATCATATTTTAGAAACCACATGGAAGGCACAGGGCAAAACACAACAGACTAATCTACTGTGACCATCACCCAACCTGGCAGCAATGTAGGCGAGAGAAAAAAGCTTTTACTTCCCAGAACCACTCAGGAAAAAGAAGCAAAAATTCTGACTTCCAGTCACCAGAAATGCCAGCCCATTTATAGCTGATCAGGAAAACCTAACCTCACTTTTAAAATATAAAAAAATATAAATTGGAAACCAGAGATTTCCACTTCATGACCGAGATAGGGAGCGGTGGCGCAGGCTGTACAACGCCTGCAGTAACATCTATAGCGAACAGCCATAATGGCTGTTCGAATCTCCACCGCGGCCGGAGTGAGCTCCCGGCCCTCAGTCCCAGCTCCCACCAACCCAGCGGGCCAAAAGCTGTTAACAGCTATGCGAGTAGGCGAATGGGTAGGGGGCACCCGCCTGGATTGCACCCGCCTCTGACGAGGAGCGTGGAGTCGGCGCAGATGGCGCAAAAATGGTGGTAGAATTACCGGTGGCAATGGCAATGGCGGCGACGGAACATCAGGCGGCCGAGATTGACTACGGCAGCGCAGCACGAGCCAAGCAATCCCTGGTGGCGAGTGAGCCATCCTGCAACCAGCAGCGGCGGAGGGCAAGAGACTGCGACTGGCGGCGGTGGAAGGCGAGAGACTGGGGGCGCCTGATGACGCGCGACGCCGGACGAGGCGGAGCCTGATCGGACGGAGCCTTGGACCGGGAGAGCAAGCGTGGAGTCGGGCGCATGCGCAGTCCCGCCGATCGGCCGATCGGCAGTCGCTGGAAGAAGAGCCAGGAAGGATCGCCAAGAAAGAAATCGCCACACCAGAGAACATCACTGAGACCCTCCAACTAGGGTGCTGGTAGGTTTCCCACCCCCTATCATATGTGGCCCAAGCTAGGGATTGAAGGTTATTAGAATCAATGCAATGTAAACCGCCCAGAGACCCCTAGGGGTTAGGGCGGTATAGCAAATCGAAAAGGTAAATATCATTCCACCACCACCACCGAGATGAAACTTTGTGGGACCCCATAGCTTGAAAGCAACAGGGTCAAACAACAATCTCCCAGCCATTATTACCTTCCAGAAATGGTCAGTCAAGAAGAAGAAAAACTAAGCAATGCATGTTTCCACTATTCCAAACCCAGCCAATGACCACAGAAATTTTGTTTTGGTTAATGGTGTTGAGAGTCACCAAGAGGTCCTGAAGGATCAACAGAGATCTGCTCCCCATGTCCTTCACCCTGTCAGGATCATCAGTTAGGATGGCCAAAGCTATTTTGGCCTCAAACAGACTTACATTCAAGAGCCACAGAAGACAAAGATGGGATTGAGTCAAAGCACTAATTACATGGAATTACTTGGGAAGAACAGAGGCTCATTAGTAGATGAAAAGCTCTGCAAGGCAGTTTTCCTTGATATCACCTTGACATCCTTGATATCACCACCCAAAAGTGATTCCTGGGTGATCAAAGCATGACTCCCTCAGATATGGGAGAGCCGCTGTCAAAGTATTGTTGCCAAGATAGACCTCAGCTTCAGGAGAAGGCCGAGTGTTCCAGTAGAACTACAGAGCTAAAATTAAGCCAAGGAGAAAACCATTACTTGAGAATTGCATGGGGATGTCACCTTTCAGATTGAAATACATGGAATTCTCCCACTATATACGCGCACCAACCCATTAAATAAGTGGCTCAAAATCACTCCGTTACAACCCATGCGACATCAATGAGTGTACAAAGAGATCATCTCAAGTGATCCAAGGAAACAGCAGAAGATTGAGAGGGTGTGTGTGTTATAATGCATACAGTTGGGTCCTCCAAGACTCCAGTGAAGCCTGATTTGCCTGACAGGACTGACTCTGCAAATGAAGGACCATGGTGTATGGCATTGTGCTAACAACTATGAATACTGTTGGAAGCGACAAAAGCCGAAATTTTCTCCACACTCACCTCCATTTACCCTGTAGTCTCTCCTCATGAGGTCTTTCCTTTGAAACCCAAAAAAGAAGAACTAGCCCACAAAGTTCGAGAACAATGCTCAGAAAATAACAAACCAATTCTTTGCTCCATGCCCAAAGGGAAATCCTTTTTTCCCATCACCCACCTTCCTGAGTGGAGATGGTTCCTTCTCCACACAGAGAACAGTTATAGCAGCAAATGGGCTTTCCTTCCAGGGTCACTTTCACATGTCCAGGGAGGCACCTTTGGGTACACCTGGAATCAGGCAGCATCTATGCATAAAGACAAGAAGCATTATCTAGGGAAATGAGAAATGATTCATTTGGCAATCATAGTTTATATACATCTTTATAAAATATTGCTGTGATTAAATGTCACATTTCATGTTCTTATTGCTAGCCACCCTGATCATTATTGGCCCCGGTCACATGGGAGGTTTAGGCCCGGAAGAGGGACGGATCGGGGGCGCAGCAAATGGGCATGATCAAACCGTAAGATTTGGGAAGCGGCTCGCACCCTCCCCGATCTGTCCCTTCAGCCCAGTAACGTGGAGTAAAAAAGAACCTAGTAAAGAGAAGGACTTACCTGAAATGCCGCAGCAACCGCAGCCGTCAGATCGCAGGAGCGCCCGTCTTCAGGAGCATTCGAGGCTCCCAGCCGAACTGCACATGCGCACACATGCGCAGCTGGCTGCCTCACGCTCCCTTCCGTGTCTTTCCCCCCGGCATCTGATCGTGCCGGGGAGCAACTGCGCAGTGGCTCACAGGATCAGTGTGATCCCGCCGCCGCGTGTCTCTTTTGGTGCGGCTTTAAAAAGCAGCACTTTGGCCGCATCAATTTCCCCCCGTGTGGCAGGGGCCATTGTTTATAATGAAAGGCTCATAAGACTCTCATGGAGATTTCATGTATAGTACCAAACAGATCTTTATACCTTACGCAACCTTAATAAATATAGAGATAAAGTAATGAATTTCCCCACCTGCCTATACCAGGTGGGCCACACAATCGCATCCTGACCAATTGTCAGTTTTATCTCTCCAGAGGCCTGTCTTTCTATACTCCCAATTTTCATGCTCACGATGGAAATGTTGCGCAGGACAATCATGTTCACAATGTCTAAGTCTGCTTCCAGGTCCCCATCTTCAACCAAATCCTTTCCACCCATGGAAATGTTGTGAAACTGGAAGTGTCTCAGGAAAGGATGAAACTAGAATCACAAAGAGAACTGCAGGATTTAGAAGACAGAAGACTCTTCTACAAACTTGTTCCAGCTGTGGTTTTCTCCTTACTTGTTGGCTTTATACATTTAGATGTCTACACCATGGTCTCCTCTAAGGAAGTGATGAAAAGTTCTTCATGGTAGCACGTCTTCTCCTCCCAATGACTGAGGCACGTTAGGCTAAGAGGGAGTCACTAGCCAAATGTTCCATGGTAGACTGAAGACTCAAAACTGCATCTCCAAATCCTCCTACACACTAACCACTAAACTGCATTAGCTCTTGATGAAATGGTCCGGTGCTAGGCCTGCCCTCAAATCTATAGGAATGTTCCTTCCTACCCATCATGGGCAACACTTTAAGTTGGTTAATACAGGAAACTCACCACTAGTGACTCTGGACCATCCACAGTCTTTCTCGGAAAATCATGTCTATTCCATAGTCCTCACCCTGGGTGATCAAAATTCCCTTTGTGTGAGAAATAACTAAGGAGGACCGAGCACACATTTGTTTCCCAAATGAATGAATTGCCTATATTTGCCTAAATGTTCTCTGTGTTGAAAAATATGGTTTGTTTTAAATTGTCTGAGTTTCTTCTATCAGGGGTCTTCTAAACCTAAGATCTGGGCATTGCTTTTAATTTGGTAGATTTAAGTCTAGTAGTGTCACAGAGACCAAGACGATTTGGGGGGGGGTATCAGCATTTGAGAGTCAAAGCTGCCTTCATCCTATACAAGTAGGACTAGAGATCCTTGAATCCCTCTATCCCACTCCAGGGTGTTCTACTGCAGACCAGCACAGCGGCCCTCTGAAAATATTTTCCTTTGGTGTGTTCTTATCCTGTGCATTGTTCAGAATCTTCTTAATTGGACTGTTAAGTTTAGTGCCATAAGTCAGAATAAATATGAGGGGGTCGTAATGTTTTAAATAGAAGTTCATTAAGGACTTCTCTGAATCAGTGTACTCCAGGAATCTTATGACCACACTGCGGTAATGCTCTCTACATCAATCTTCCTTTAACGTCAACTTGGAAATTCCATTTGGCATCAAATTACATTGAGGACATTACTATGGATCAATGGTCCCATTCTGTAACCTTCCAGAAATAGATATTTAACCCTGACTACCCATAGCATTCATTCCTCAAAGGAGGTTGGAGCAGATAAAGTAACTGCTGGAGAGACTCTTGTGACTCTTCCTCAAGGACGGCTAAGACGCCAGACTCACACTCCACCAAAATTTCATATAATAGTACAAAGCATTCCTGTACCTCCTAGACTTCTTTCTTCCATGCAAACATAATATTCCATTTATGTTCCCATAGGACCATACCACCCACCAGCTGTATTCCAGGAGCCATTCAGCTTTCTGAGACCTTAGGATACCTATACCACACTGACAGAGCATATCAAGGCAACTGAGGCTTAAAAACTACATGGCAAGATGCCTACCAATAGCATTTGAAGAGCAAGAGAAGGTATGGCTTCCAACAAACCATCCCGCCAAAGCTGGCCACAGTAGATACTAGATCAGTCATTTATAGGACCATTTCTTATTGTTCCAAAATTAAACCTGCCCAATTGGGTGAAATCTTTCTCTGATCCTGGGAGCTCCACTCTGTATTTCACTTGAATGACTGCATGATCATCTTCCCCATCATCCCTTTTCTCCAACCCTTCCATTATAACCAGTTCTTAGCAGTGCAGGGGGCATTCACTCCCCATTCATCCATCCTGCTTGAAGATGGTCTGAAAGGTGTTGGACATTCATCTCTGTCAAGGTGTAACAATATCTCATACTCTGAGAAGACTGTGAACCAGGCAAACAGTTCTGGGGATTTGTCCCCTTGTGTGCCTCACTCTCTTCAGCTGGTAGAGATTTACAGCTAAAAGGAGGAGCAGAGAATGTTCAGATATCTGGTTCATATTATATTTGTTCATGCAGTCTTAAGCAGGCTGCTCTCTCTTAGCTTCATCCACACTCCTGGAACATGCAACAAATAATGCAGCAAGTTCTGTGTTGGATATATTGATGGCTTGGGAATATTATCAATTCTTGACAGTGGCCAGATACCTCAAGGTGTTCCCTGAAGACACATACCTGATGCTCCTTTTAACTGCATCCAACAATCTATCCTTCTACCTGGAGATGCCAGGGATTGAACCTGAAACCTTCTGCGTGTAGAATTGCTCAGCCCCTCATTGGCCCAGAATAGGTTTCTTGAGAACAATTTACCAATACTGAAAATACTGACTGGCAATTGAGGTTGATGAGAAGTTGGCTAAGATTTCTGATCTAGACATGGTAACCTCATATTAAGAATCCTCTCTTTAAAAGTTTCCTGAGATGCATGGCAATGTCACTAAGGATGGATGACTGGTCTTAGTTCTGCCTTGCATCCCAGTAAGTCCAGGCCAGACTGTGTACAGAACTGAATGTGGTGAGGAGGAGAGTTCCAGTTCAGTAAGAAGGATGAATAGTTGTGTTAAATACTGGGTTCAAGATGCATTGCAGTGAACATCTCTACTTTATTAAGTGATTTCAGGAACAAAACTAAGGCCCCGGTCACATGGTAAAGTTGCCGCAGGAGAGGCACAGATGGTGGGCGGATTATCCGGGCGTGATCACACCCCAACATCTGGGAAGTGGAGCGCACCCGTGGCTTACCACCAACAATGCGAGTTTAAAAACTAGTACCTCCAAGGTACTAGTAAACGTTTGCCATGGGCTGCATCCAGACCCCAGTGGTGTGAGCGCGCCAGAGTGCGGCATTCCCCTCTGGTCCCTCGTTTACCCACTGGCGCCGAGGGAACGACCAGTGATGTGCCGCCGGCGAGTCTGATCGTGTAATCGCGGATCAAACTGTGCCGGGGCAATTAGCCATGCCTCCCCCCACAATATCCGGCCTGTGTGACCGGGGCCTAAAACTATTGAACCAGGGCAACAGCCCTTTTTAAATAGCATGCAGAAAAAAAACCCAAACACACCCCACTCCCAATGATAGGCTATCTACATAACATTAGTTTCTCCTCGGTCACTTCCAGAGTCCTGGTGGGCTTTGTTCTAGAGCTCCAAGCTCAGCCAGTCTCTGGTAGATAACCTTGGAATGTTCCAGTCATAATACTTTTCTCTTCAGTTCCCCAGAGGGAGCAAGAAGGAGGATGTTCCCAGTAGAGTCTGAAACCAGCTAAATGCTGTGTGACAACCACCTCAGTTTAGATTCACACTAATCCTTTCAAAGAAAAACTGCTGATTAGTATCCTCAATTTACGGGAAAAGGATACCTGCCAAGGCTGTACTGGTTCATGTTCCCATTTGTCTCCACCAGTCCTCATCATCCTATCAGACCTGGATGAGTAGGCAGCATGTAATGCATGTGCCACTGCCTGGATGGAGGTGTAAATATTGTAGGCCCTGGGAGGCAGGTGTTCTTTCAGGGCCTCCCAGCGCCTGTCCTCCAGCCTCTCTTTCTCTCTGCATCTCTGGTGGCCTCTTGCAGACAAAATGGGCTTTGAGTAGAAGCAATCAAATGCTGTCTCCATGAACTCCTCAATAAGAGGGTTACATCCTTGTAAATGGGAAAACATTGTTCTTTCCTTTGTCTGAGTCATGAAGGAGAAAGATCCATGAGTAACAAGATCAAAGGGCTGAGAAAGACATGCCAAGCTGAAGAGGGAGTCCAACGAAAGAGATGTGATCCAAACTTTACGCAGTCTGACATTCATTTCATCTTCAGCCTTTCGTATGAGTATTTCAAGACATACTATGGATAGAACATCTCCATAGAAAACAAATGCACTGACTTGGCCTTGAGTGAGAAATGAATTCAAGCGTTGCATTCTTTCATCTGGCCAAGCAGTGAAACCAACACCATGTTCTAACATGCTCTCTGCAAAGGCAACACAGATGCCGCTCCTGAGCATGAGAGGTGTCAAGGTGCTCCTGAACTTTTCCCCACTGTCACTATCTGAAGCAAAGAGACCAACCCACGTCCATCGGAAATGCAGGAGCAGTTTGACAATTCCCAGGTAGTGGACTTCTTCCTTTGGGGCCAATTGGTAGAAAAAAGGGAACTGAGTTTTATCCTTAAGAACTGCCAAATGAAAATCATGACTGACCTAATGGGGAAAAAGGCACATTTGGATTTCATCGCTTTCAACAAATGTAAATAAATAGGAAAACGATTCATGTAGCTTTATGATGATAAAAGGAAACCCCTGAAAGACAGGAGTTGTATTCAGTCCAGAACTTTTCTGAGGGAGATCTCCCACACTGTGGGGTTCCTTTCAGTGGTGATCTGACCTCCCAGCATCAGAAGTGGTTTTGCCCTAGGGATGGCCTTGACCCATAAGAACTCAAGGTCTGTAAGCCTCGCCAGGTCATTGGGAAGGTGAAACATCAAAGTGTTAGGGGGGAAAACGTTTTAATGCAAACCAGATTGGTATACAAATTTCTCCCTCACAAAATAACTTTTGCTCAAAAGGGCCACTCTAAATCAATATTCCTACATTTCAATAGTCCACCACTCCAGCCAGGCCTTGACCCACTGACTGATGCATGGGGAGGTGTCCATATCGGCTTTGCAATCACTGCACCAGACTGGCTTTTCCAAAAAAATTCAACTTCTGAAAGAAGATGCAATACAGGCCATCTAAGAAAGGGAGTCCTTTTTTGCAGAGAGTTTCATAGCTCTGTACCTGCTCCTCCCCAAGTCAACCAAGACTGTCAAAGGCTTTCACGGCTGGAGTTCATTAGTTGCTGTAGATTTTCCAGGTTGTGTGGCCGTGGTCTTGACAATGCAAGACCACAGCCACACAACCTGGAAAATCTACAGCAACTAATCAACCAAGTCTGTTTCAAAACCTTGCAAAACTAGTATGGGAAGGGTGCAGATGAACCACCAGAGGACCTCAATCCTTTCTCAACCCCCCCTCAACTCCCCTAAAAACTGGTTTTGATCTGTACCAGAAATATTTCAAAGTCCACCAGTGTTTCTTCAGAGACATTGGCCCCATCCCTGATTCATACCTGAGGGACTTTGTAGGCGCTCAAGAGTGTTGAAATGTCATCGGTGTTGTCAGACACAGGTCCTTCAAGAACAGCCAAGACATGATTCTGTTTGCCACATTTGTAGTTTGGAATGGTCTCCTGGGCAGAAGGTAGCAGGTCTATCAAAGCATTATACGTCACCCTGGGATGGAAAACGTTCTCATAGACTGTGTAGCCGAGGGTGATATTATTTGGTAAGAGCTTGGGATTCTGGTTGATCTCCTGAATGGCCAATGAGAAGGCAAGGTGGTGCCATTGCATCGTTGGTTCCCTGCCAGGAAATATATACACATGTCATGCATTCAAGGGATGCCATATACACTTTGGCCTTGCTGATGCCTTACCTGGTATGGGGAGAAGCAGTTGTGGAGGTTTGCAATGTCAATAACAGGGAGACTGATCCTGTTTGGGGACTGGGTGAACTTGTGGCAGCCAAGAAAGAAAGGGAAAAAAGCACACCTGAAGCTGTCTTTTACTGAAGCAGACCTTTGTTCCATCAAAGTCAGAATTGTCTACACAGACTGGTAGTGGCTCTCTAGGGTCTCAGGTTGAGGTCTTTCTCATCACCTGCTGCCTGGTCCTTTCTAACTGGAGAGGCTGGGGATTGAACCTGGGTCCTACTTGTTGGAAATGTATGTGTTTACAAGGTCTGATTCAGTCATTATAGGGTTAACTTGTATTCCTAGTTTGCTATTGTTTAGACTGACCTGGAATTGGCACTAAGCCAATGGGGGATTTGCCCGGGAAAAGTAGCTTCTACTTTGATGCAGATTGGTCATTTGTTTCAGGTGACTTCCTTTCTAGGGTCAAGAAGAAGGAGAGAATCCTCCATTACGTGTGTGCTTGTCTTGTCTGTAGGAAGCTTAGAAATGTAGCTCTTAGTATCATGTTAATTTATAGCAATCCCGTGAACCCTTTACCCTTAGTAATAAAGGTTTTTAAAGGCAAAGAACTCTCTTCTTTCCAATAGAGCAAGATCCATCAAATAGTCTGAGTATTAAACAATTTTTGACTATTTTACAACACTACTCTATGCAAAGCAGAGGCTCTTCCACTGAGCCACAGCAGTCCCAGCACCTGGATGGTGTATCACCCAGGATCCTTTGGGGCAGTATCACAATGCTGAGGTAACTGGAAATGTAGCCTCTTCTTTCTAGGATTGGTGCAGCTTCAGTTGTTTCACAGTTAGGCTTATCAGGGCTGCCTAGCCAGTGAGATTGAAATGGCACCTGAAAGATGCTCTCTCAAAGAATAACTGGCAATCTAAACTTACATAAGTTTTTTTTTTTCAAATGCAAGTCCCCCTGAGTCCAACAGAAGCTACATTCCACTAAGACTACAGAGGACTGGACTTTAGTTTTCCTGCAAGTCTTTATGTAAGGACAGTAACCAGGTCATCTGTTTCTCTTTGAGGAACCTGGCTTACAAATCACCCTGCAGGAGGCTCTTTGCTAGTTGTTCATTTTGGCACTCATAGAGCTGTGGTAGTGAGGTAGTGAGCTGACCAAACCCATCTCTTTCTCCTCAGATTTGAGAGTACGTTATAATATGCTTAACTCCCAGATTCTTGGCAGTGAAAAACATTTAGCCATATTTTACTCACTTCTCAGATGCAGGAGATAGAAGCAAAGCAGTACACTGACTTTTGATAATAAGAAAGAACCCCCAAACTCTGTCCCATCATATTTGTTTAAAAGGTTTGGCAAGGACTGACTTACAGGTTCTCTTGTAAAAAGGGAGGCTTTGTGAAGCTTTCTGGTGGGACACTAATAAATACTAAAGTGACGAGTCCAGCAATGAGGTGGTCTCCTGTTCGGAAGTGATTAAAAGGCTCAATTTCATCCATTGTCAGAGTGAATGGGCATCTGGCCCTCCCCACCCGGCAGGCTGTAAGAGGCAGCAGCAGAAGCAGCAGCAAGATCATTCTCTGTCCGCTTGCCCCCTTTCCCCTCCCAGGAACCTGCTCTCAAAAAAGACTGACAGAAGAAGCTGCAGGATCCCCTGGCGAGATCAAGGCTGCAGTCACATCAGCAGTCCTGCCCTGGCTTGGTCAGATTGAAAACTTCAGACGGACACAGGTCCCCCCCCCCCAATCCTGGAGATCTCATCCCCTCAACTCATTGGAACAAAAGGCTTTTATGCCCCAGACTTTCCAGGCCTGTTGCAAGGGTTTACATCATCTTGCTCTTGGTTCCAATGTTTACCTTACTGGTTTCAAAGCAAACATTAGAGAAATCCCTGGAGCTTTGTTGAGATGTGGAATCAATCACTATGATTTGGATAATTCTAAGGGAAAGAACCTGCATCATCCTGGACTCTCTTTTTGGGTTTAAATGGAGGTGCAGAGATGGTGAAAACATCTTTGCGAGAACTCACCAACATGGCTCCCTGTGACTGGGGTCATGGAAGGGGCATGTGAGTTTGGCCAAATGGAATCCCCCACAAGTCAGAGGCACTAAAACCTGTAGAAAACCTCCCCGGGATGCCTCTGTACATGCCCCCATAGAGCAGAATGGAATCTCTCTTATTGACTGCCAGTTCTGCCTGTCGAGCTTTTGAGGGCTATTAATGGTGTTTCCAGGGCTGCCAAAGGGCTGCCAAAGTCCATCCCCCATTGCTTTGATGATTAATTGATCGGTGCCAGCGTGTCTGCCACATGAACCATCAACATGAACCACAAGAACCTCTGTAAAAGAACATGGAGGTCAATTGCAGGTGCAATCACACGACCCTTGGCTCACAAACCACGAACCGGGTGATTTTCGTAACAGGGTTCACACACCCATTGCTAATGCAGACCAATGTCCCAAATAATTTATCCAACTAAATTGTGAATCATTTTGGCACCTACTGAAATCCCAACACAGCTGAGTGAAGTTGACGTGGTGGGACAGAAGGAGAGAGACAATCTGGCAGATACAAGGATCTGAGGCTATGAAGGGCTTTGTATGTGCTACCCAATACCTTAAATGGAGCCCAGTCAGAGATGGGCAGCCAGTGGAGTGACTGTAGAATCGGAATAATACACAGACTCCGTTTAGCTACCAATAAGAACCGAGTCACAGCATTCTGCACCACTTGGAGTTTCCAAATTGATGGGGGGCTCCAGTCTTGATCCGGAAGAAAAAAGATGGGGGGCTTAGACTATGCACGGACTACAGGGGACTGAATGCAGTGTCGTCAACTAATGCCTACCCCATGCCTTTGATTAAAGACCTATTAGCAGAAACTGCTAAAGGGAAAATCTTTTCTAAGCTGGATCTCCGAGATGCTTACTTTTTGGTGCGCATCAGAGAGGGGGATGAACATAAAACGGCGTTCAATACCCCTCTAGGACAATTTGAATATCGAGTGATGCCGTTTGGACTTCAGGGCCCCCCGGGGATCTTCATGAATTTGATCAATGAGGTGTTGCACAAAATTTATCTAGATGACATCTTGCTGTACTCCTCCGACCTCCCTTCCCACATGAAATTGGTGAGAGAGGTGTTAACCATGTTGCACAAGCACAAACCGTTTGCAAAACTGTCTAAGTGCGAGTTTCATAAGACACACATTGACTTTTTGAGATACCGCATCTCGAATAGGGGTCTGGAGATGGATCCAGGAAAGGTGCAAGATGTATTGCGGTGGGGGGGTACCCCGCACCCGACGCCAGCTCCAATCCTTCTTAGGATTCGCGAAGTTTTACAGAGACTTTTTAGAAAGTTTTGGCCAGGTCAGTTTACCCCGACGGATCTATTAAAAACTAAGGGGAAGGGCCCGGAGGCTACAAAGCCGGGAGCAGCGTTGCCTTGGAATAAAGACTGTCAGGAGGCTTTTGAATGCCTTAAAGCCTTGTTCACGTTGGAACCTGTTCTTGCTCACCCAGATGAGACTAAAAAGTTCATTGTGCAAACCGATGCATTGGATGTGGCCATGGGTGGGGGCATCCCCCAGGAGGGAGGGGATGGACTACTTCATCCCTTGGCATACGTGTCAAGAAAATTTAATGACACTGAACGGAACTGGTCTGTGTGGGAGAAGGAGGCATTGGTTAGAAGGGGCGAGAGTCCCGTTCAAGGTGTGGACTGACCATAAGAACTTAGAAACTCTCAAAACACCTTGGTGTCTCAATGCCAAACAGCTCCATTGGGCAGACTTCTTTTCTAAATTCCAGTTCACCCTTCGTCACTTCCCGGGCTCGACAAATTCATTGACAGATGCCCAGTCACACCTACCCCAACACATTAGCCAACGGGAGGTGATCCTGGACTCAGTCTTCACGCCTTCCCAGCTGGGTGGGGTGGTGATGACACGCAAACAGGCACGCCTCACTACCCCACCCCCTGCGACGACACAACCACCTCCTGCAAGTCCTAAAGGGGAGGGGATGGATTCTTGGCACAGTAAGTTTGCCTCTGCTTTCACTGAGCAAGATAAAGCAGTTCTAGAGGCAGAGGGTGATTTTGAATTATGAGACAATGGCTGTTGGTATCGAGAACATAAACTGTTCGTTCCCCTCGACCTCAGGGGGGAGGTATTACAAGTGGTGCATGGCTCCAAACTGTCGGGGCATCCGGGATTTGTTAAATCACTTCAACTTTTGCAAAGACAGTTTTGGTGGCCAAAAATGCGGAAGGATTTATCTTCTTATGTCCAATCTTGCCAGATATGTGCCATGAGCAAACCCAGACTGGGGAAGCCCCCAGGACTATTACACCTGCTTCCTACTCCAAACCAACCCTGGGAAGTTATATCCATGGATTTTATAACGGACCTACCTCCGAGTAAATCGATGACTGTAATATGGGTAGTGGTTGATTTATTTTCTAAGCAAGCTCATTTTATCCCGTTCCCCTCACTGCCTACAGCTAAAGCACTGGCAAAGGCATTTCTGGTGCACGTGGTGAGATTACACATGCTCCCCAACAAGGTAGACAGAGGGACCCAATTCGTTTCCCGGTTCTGGAGGGAGCTAATAAAACTAATGGGGGTGGAACGGGGCCTCAGCAGTGCTTACCACCCAGAGACTCATGGACAAATGGAAAGGGTGAACCAAACTTTGGAACAATATCTTTGTTGTTTTACCAACTATCAACAAGACTATTGAAACGACTTATTGCCTCTGGCTGAATTTTGTTATAATAATATGTGTCACTCTTCCACGGGGATGTCCCCGTTCAAGGCGATGTATGGTTATGACAGCCCACCTGTTCTGTTCCTGGAAGGGGACATGGACATGGGGGCGGGAGATGCTGGTCAGTGGTGCAAACAATTACGTGACTCTTGGCCACTTCTGTGTAAGACGTTAAATGCTGCAAAGGATGCTTATAAAGAACAGGATGATAAGAGAAGGGTGGAGGGTTGGGCTTTGCAGCCTGGTGATTTGGTGTATGTATCTACAACAAATATTCAGGTGCTGCGGCCGAGTAGAAAATTAGGTTGGAAATACATTGGGCCGTTAAAGGTTTAAAAAGTTATCAATGAGGTAGCAGTTGAACTGGATTTGCCTAAAAACTTGAGGAAATTGCATTCTGTATTTCATTTCAGCCTCCTGAAAAAGGATTCCGGTTCCAGCAAGTGGCAACCTACGGCACCGGTACTCCCTCCTATCATGATTGAGGGCGAGGAACATTATGATATCTCTAAAATATTGGACTCTAAGCAAAAACATGGGAAATTGATGTATCTGGTGGAATGGGTAGATTCCAGACCCCAGCACCTCGAATGGGTGGAAGTAGGGGATATTCGGGCCCCTCAGCTGTTGCGTCAGTTCCATCGGGACTTCCCGGACAAGCCGGGGAATCTCCCGGAATGACCTGTAGATCTCCCTGAATGGGCAGGAGATCTTCTGGAATGGGAGGGAGAAGCCTTTTTTTTTTTTTAGACGGCAGTATGTCAGCTATGCTGCCATGGGGGTTGGGATGTTCAGTCAGACTCTGTGTAAATTGCTTTCACATTCCTTTCAGTGCTTAGAACTGCAATGTTTATCTAGCATTTAGCAGTGAAGTGGCTAAATTTGTGGATGATACAAAGTTGTTCAGGGTGGTGAAAACCAGTGAGGATTGTGAGGCACTCCAAAGGGATCTGTCAAGGATGGGCGAGTGGGCGTCAACATGGCAAATGGGGTTCAATGTGGCCAAGTGCAAGGTGATGCACATTGGAGCCAAAAATCCTAAATATAAATACACATTGATGGGGTCTGAACTGGCAGAGACTGAGCAAGAGAGAGATCTTGGAGTTGTAGTAGATAACTCACTGAAAATGTCGAGGTGAGACCTCATTTGGAATACTTTGTGCAGTTCTGGTCACCACACCTTAAAAAGGATATTATAGCTTTGGAAAAAGTGCAGAAAAGGGCAACTCGAATGATAAAAGGGTTGGAACACTTTCCCTATGAGGAAAGGTTAAAGCGCTTAGGGCTCTTTAGCTTGGAGAAAAGACAACTGAGGGGTGACATGATCGAGGTTTATAAGATTATGCATGGGAAAGAGCAGGCAGAGAAAGAGGTACTTTTCTCCCTTTCTCACAATACAAGAATTCGTGGGCACTCCATGAAACTGCAGAGCGGTCGGGTTAGAACGGATAAAAGGAAGTACTTCTTTACACAAAGAGTGATTAACACATGGAATTCACTGCCACAGGAAGTGGTGGTGGCTACAAGCATGGACGGCTTCAAAAGGGAATTAGATAAGCATATGGAGCAGAGGTCCATCAGTGGCTATTAGCCACAAGGTATAGATAGGGGCTCTGGGGCAAGTGATGCTCTGTCTTCTTGGTGCTTGGGGGGGGGTCAACAGTGGGAGGGCTTTTAATGTCCTGGCCCCACTGGTGGACCTCCTGATGGCACTGGTATTTCTGGCC